TTTCTTTTTTTTTTCTGTCTCTGAAACTTGCTTAACTGAAGAAATTTGGGCTACCTAACTCACTACTCTAATATACATATTTTTTGAGACAGGATTTTAGGTATCCTCTGATACACAGATCCCGATCCTCCTGTCTCCACCTCCTCGGTGCTGGGATTACAGATGTGCATCATCTTGTACATTTTTTGTGGTGCTGGGACTCAAACCCAGGGTGTCAGGCAAGCTAGGTAAGCACTCTAGTCACAGGGCTACATCCCTCCTACGAGAAAGAATTTAGGTTCTTTATCCATTTTTTTTTTTTTAAATCAAAGGATTGAGCTAAATTATTTCTTTTCTGTTTTGAGGTGATTTCTTGCTGTGAAACCAAGGCCTGGAATTGGAGACCATTCAGAGTGCTGAGATTACAGGTGTGTCAGTCACCACACCTAGTTGGACTAAGTTATTTATAGGAGATTTTCAGCTTTGAAAATTGTTAACTCGACAGCCCTACCTTTCACTCCTGTTGTATCTCATATTGCCACCAGGGAGCGCCTAACACTTCTAGTGTCTGTGTAATAAGGCTATGGTTTAAAAGGCTTGGAATGCCATCCTAGCACAGGACATGGTGGTGCATACTTCTAATGTCTGGACTAGGGTGGCTGGGATGGAAGACAATGAGTTCTATAACAGACTTGACTACAGAGCTAGAGCCTCTTTCTTCCCCTCTAAAGGGTTTACTCTCTTTGGCAGGGGTGGGTTGTAGGTAGGTGGGGGAGCAGTTCTCTACTCCACAGGTTTGAGGCATGAAGTCTATCTAGCAACTGCCTATGAGGCCCACAGCCTACACTTACCCATCGCCACCTAGAAGAATCTAACATGGGAAGAGTTCCAGAAAAGCTTATTTAGCTTGTTCCTTTGCAGTTTCACCCAAGCGCTCACCTGTTCAACTCAATCTCCTTTTCTTTGTCATTTCTGTCCCACACTCTCTCCTACTCCCAGACTCTTGCAGGGCTTCTAGAACTCTCCATTTCTCACTGCTCTGTAAGTCTTCACATATTTAGGCTCATAGCATGGCTGTTTGTCTTCCCCAGTTCAAGTGCTCAGGCTTTGTGCTTGCAAAAGCAGTTTGCCTCCCATTCAAGGATGTAAATCTCCTTCAGTTTGACACCTGGCTGGAGAAGGGACTAGAAAGGCTGTCTCTTTAGATGTCAGATCCACTGGTGACAATCTGCAGATGGAATCCACAGCCTAGCTCAAGCCTAAACACTCCAAAGGAGGCGAAGAGTCGGCACATGCATATGTGTCCAGCGAGACCCAAGCAGTATGAGCTCCTGGACACTCTTCAAGGACAAATTCTATAAACCGAAGACCCCTCCCCCAAAATTACCCTCTCCTAGGCCTGGGCAACTTTCCTCAGAGATGCTGGGAAAATATCCAGAGATTCAGAGGAGAGGCCCTTTGATCCCCGGGCTCAACTAAGACTTCCTTACTAAGGGCCATAGTTCAAAAGCAGAAACCCTGCCAAGAAACCGTCTGCATTCAGACACCAGAGATCTCATACTGCGTTGGGTTGGAAAGGAGAAAGTCATCTTTGGTATGCAAACATCCTGAGAAATAAAACCTGAGCTCTAGGAGAAAAGGGAGCTGCATAGACTAGGTCCAGTTCACAGGGAACATCCATATGTGGAAATGCATGTAGCTTATTGTGTAGGCAAGGTGAGGTTTTATATCTCTAGAGCCCCCAAACCCAGCCAATGCAAGGCATGCTAAACATTTGCTGATCAACTAACTGGCTGTCCTGAAAATCAGCCTACTCGAGGAGTTAAAGAGGCGCCTGCACAATACTCCAGTGACTTCCATAGAACTTTTTTCCCATGAGAAACATGTTAGATAAGAATTATAAAGACCGAAATGATGAAAAATAGTATGAGCAGATAGTTGTAGCTCCAATTCTGGTAAGAATTTATTATCCTCTAGAATAATAATTCTAGAGGGTACAGAAACACACACACACACACACACACACACACACACACACATTGTAGACACACATCTGTTAATATAACATAGGACCCGTTGCCCCTTGCTAAACCAGTGCTCTGTACTTCTAGATACACACACAAAGAAAGCACAGAACCAATGTGTCAACGAGACCTTATTAACCCAGGCTAGTTTATGGTATGAAAGAGTCCTGGTCCTGGACACAGAAAGCCCCCTCATCTAGTAAGACAGATGAGTCATGCATGACTAGATCCCAGAAGTTTCAGAAAGGGTAGGAAGGAAGGAGAAGCAAAGACTTGACAGTCCCATTTACACAGACAGACTTTTTGGTTCTGTCTGAGGAGGATTAAGAAGAAAGGGGCAAAGATTATTCCTAATTTATTACCCCTGTCAAAAGGCAGCTCTGGGCAGGGAAGCCAGCAAGTGGATTATAAAAAGAAAACAAATGGAAAGAAAAGAGAGCAAAGGACAAACGACACTCGGTAATATTTATTAATTTGATTTTAAATGGAAAAGGGACCCATTCCAATGGCTCACCTTCCTATGAACCCTGGAATTCCCCCAAACCTTGATGTCCAGACTGTGAGGTAGATCAGGGCTGTTTGGTGCGGAATGTGAGAGATGCTCTAAGATGGTGCTTACAGAGCCATGGCGAGGAGCCAGGGACAAAACCTCAAACTCTGTTGTTCTTTCCTGGCTTCTTGCCCTCAACTAATCAGAGATACAGAGCCTAGAGAATCACAGCCGCTTATTGGGGTCAGGAAAGCAGAAAGGAGGGAGGTAGGTAGGGTGCTTTCTTTGCCCTCAGCACACAGCACACACAGAAGCAGGACCATGGGTATCCCTCCAGAGTCATAGGTTGCTCAAAGGGCAGCTGGGCACAGGTGGCCGGACACCCCAGCTGCTGAGGTAGTAGTGAAGTTAAAGGTGGGTCTTAGAAAACGGTGAAACCCACTTGGTAAGAGTTCCCCTTCACATCTGCAGTCTAGTCAGCAGGCTCCCAAGAGTCGAGGTTTTCAGCGGAGGAGGTGGGGGGGAACCACTCTGAGTGGAAATTAGGCGTTTTACTAAAATTCTGCATCCACGGAGTCTTTTCTTGTTTTTCTGGCAAAAAGCAAACAAAACAAAATAAACAAACAAACAAACAAAAATACTCTCCAGAAATTCTGCAAAATTGAGATAATTTTTTTTGGGGGGGTGTAACTGGTCAAGGGGGCAGAGACCAAGCACCGGAGGGGAGGGGGCAGTTACTGAGGAACCCTGAAAAGCATTTTTACTTTCCAAAGGTATAGGGACCATCCAGAACTCCCCACCACCTCAAATCCCATCCTACAGCTTCAACCTGAGGGAGGGGTGCAGCTCAGATTTCAACTCACAGGTTTCTTGCTGGATCTAGGTGGGCCTTCATGCGGGAAATCGTCGCTCACTTTCGTAGTCAAACCTTTGGGAGAAACTGGAGCTGAGGTCAAGGGGTTGGTAACTCCACTACTATCTAGGTAGTCCCAGCTAGGTGTAGAGAACCTGGGCGGCTAAAGAACGGAACTAGAAAACCCAAACTAGAGGCGACCAGGGAGGTCAGAAACCCGACGGCAGAGTAGCAATTGCTTGTGGGGGCTGGCTCATCTGATCCTAGGGTGAGCAACCAGTCCTCCCCTTTGCCTCAGCCCCAGGGACTGGATCCAAGAAAGGGAAGGACCCCTATATTGCATTTTAGTTCCTACTCTCTTTCTGTCCTCTCTAGGCAATAGGCCCTGGTCCCCCCGCCCCCTTACCCCCAACTCAAAAGTAGAGACAGAAAGTGTCCGCACCAGGAGCCCCCGGTTCTCTGCCTGTGTCCCCTACCTGCTGAGTGGCGGGCTCTGTCTGGACTCGGCTGAGGTGGCTCCCGCGGGACTGGCTGGGAAGGTGACAGCGCGTGCCTCCTCCCGCCCGCGGCCACCGCAGCTACATAGAAGACGGCGGAAAGCGTCGCGGAAGTCCGGGCTGCGGCAGTAGATGAGCGGGTTGAAGGCGGAGTTGGCATAGCCCAGCCAGTTGAGGGCGATGAAAAACCCGCTGGGAACTAGAGAGGGCCCCGCGAGGGCGCGCAGCACGTTAGCCAGAAAGAATGGCAGCCAGCACAGAGTGAAGATGCCCATAATGAGACCTAAGGTGCGCAGGGCGCGGTGCTCCCGGAGCGGCAGGAGTCGAGCCTGCCGCCGGCCGCAGGAGGGCACTCCATCCGGAGCCGGGCTTGTCCCGCCTGTGACAGGGGACGGAGAGCGCGACAGAGTCTGCGGAGACTCCTCGGGTGGGAAGCGGCCCAGTTCCCGGCGCAACAAACGCCGTTGGCGCTTAGCCACGACGAACACTCGAGCGTAGACGAAGAGCATCACAAGCAATGGAAGGTAGAAGGAGACAGAGGAGGAGAGCAGCGCGTAGGGCATGTTGGAGGCGAAGGAACAGCAGCGCGGATCTGAGTGGCACTCTTGAGCCTCGGCGTCCGCCCCTACGCGCCACCACTGGCTCATGATGGGCGCAAAGGATACCGCGGCAGACACAATCCACACCAGGACCACCGCCGCCCGGGCTCGGCGCTTGGTAACCAGCGTGCTGTAACGCAGAGGGTTGGTGACAGCCAGGTAGCGGTCCACAGCCAGGGCGCACAAGGTCTCGATGCTGGCGGTTACACAGAGCACGTCCACCGACGTCCACAGCTCGCATCCAGTTGCACCCAAGGGCCAATGGCCAGTCAGCGCCAATGTGGCCCCCGGTGGCATTACGAGGAGTCCCACTACCAAGTCAGCTGTGGCCAGCGAAGTCACAAACACGTTGGTTATGGTCTGGAGTCTCGGCGTGCGGGCTATGGCTACGATTACCAGCAGGTTGCCTCCCACTGTGGCCATCGCCAACAATGTCCCAGCCAATGCCGCTGCCCATGGCACCCCTGGCAACCCACTCGTGTTGGCTGCACTGGGGTCCAATGTGGGGGCATCTGACCACAAAGCCAGAGAGCTGTTCTTGTGAGGCCACGGAGCCATCTCGTGTCGCGCTTGGGGTGGGGAAGTTCCCCCTGACCCCTGGCTCAGGGTAGGGGACAATAGAACTTGTGAACGACTCCTCCAGCCTGGGCCATCTTCCCTAGTTGCTGGGGTAAGTCTGTCAGCTTCCCTCCATCTCAACCCCCACACCCTAGATCCCAGGAGGAGTGGCTGCTTTTAAAGGCACAGCATCCAATAGTCAGGAGAGGAGAGGCCTCTGGAGGGTAGAGAGGGACGTCCTGCCATGGCACTCCCTCAGCACCGGTTTCCTGGAGCTGGGCAGCTCTTTCCTGGCATGGCCTGCAGCAACCCTGCAAAGGAAGGGAGAACCTCCCACCCTACCCTTTGCCCAACAGGGAAGGTGACCCTCTCCCAAGACAACAAAACCATCAATGTAGCCCCTCTTCTTCTCAGATGTCATCCCTAAGGTATTTTATTGTTTGAGATAGGATCTCCTGTGTTGTTCAGAATGCTCTGGACCCTCAGATCCTTCTGCCTCAACCTCTCCAGTGCTGGGATTACAATCCTGTGTGCCACCACTCCCAAGTCTAAGGTCTTTCTGTGAAGCAATATCAAGTGGCCGATGTGCTTTTCTCTCTCAGCAGATGAGATCTTTCCCCTTTCCTTTCTTCAGTTTTGCTCACCCTCTGGTCCCCTCCACTCCTTTTTCAGTTACTGGGACATCACCTCGTCTCAGGAGACACGTTCATTTGACTTGGCATCGTGTGGCTTGGGATGTTGAGGGCTTCTGGATTCCATCTCCCTCCTGCACTGCCCCCCCCCATTTCTCCTAGAAAATTTCTAGATAAGCCCCTTCAAATTCTGGAGTAATAAAGACATATCAAAAATGAAGAATGGGAACTGGGGGTGTAGTTCAGTTGTAGAACACATACTCAGCATGCCTGGGGATCAGCACTGAAAGAAAGAAAAAGAGGGAGAGGGAAAAGAGAGACAGACAGAGAGAGAGAGAGAGAGAGAGAGAGAGAGAAAGAGAAAGAGAGAGAAACTGGGATTGAGGCTAACGTTTGTCTGATGTTCTCAACCTGTGGGTCATGACCCTTACAGTGGCTGCATATCAGATATTTACATTCTGATTCATAACAGCAGCAAAATTACAGTTATGAAGTAGTAACACAATAATTTTACAGTTGGGAGTCACCACAACTTGAGGAACTGTATTAAAGTGTCCTAGCATGAGGAAGATTGAGTAACACTGATCTAGCACCACCCTCAGTTCTCAAAAAAAGAAAATGTTTTGTCACCTTCCCCATGATAAAGAGTTTTCATCTACTTCTTGGAGATTTATCTCTAAGAAACAGAGGAATGCCTTTGTGTGCGTGTGAATGTGTGAGTGCACCATATGTCTTCCTCAGTTTTATTACTTCAAGGCAGGGTCTCTCACTCAGCCAGAAAGCTTTGTTTTGGCTAGGATGGCTGCTCCCGAGCTTTTGAGATTCACATGTCTCTGCTGCCCAGGAACTAGGGTTATGGGCATGTGCAGCCATGCTCAACTCTTTCCTTGGGTGCTGGGGATTTGAACTCAGGTCCTCAAACTTGCAGAGCAAACACTCTTGCCTCCTGAGCCATCTCCCTAGGCCCTTAACAGTGCATTGCCAGAGTTTGTAGAAGGGTAAGGTTGGTATTTAATGCCTCTGAAGTCTCTTATGTAGTACTTTCCCTTACTGGAAGACCAGTTCCTTCCTGTTCCCTCCCCTCACACAGATTTATAAGGCCTAACTGTCTTCCAGGCTCCCAGTCTTTAAAACAGTTGGGAATGAAAGGCTTAGAAATAAGCTTCTGGTGACTAGGGATACAGCTCAGTCAGTGAAGTGCTTGCCGAGCAAACAGAAGGATGTGAGTTCGATAATTCCTAGGACCTATGAATTAAGAATCCTGGAGTGATGGCTTGCACATGTAATCCTAGAGTTGGTGCTGACTGTCAAAACTGTCCATTAAGCTGTCTTGCTTCCCTCCCTGAAACAATGGGATAAAAGAGAAAAAAGTACAGTGGAAAATGCCTCCGGGGCGACCCCCTGGCATGTGCTTTTGAACAGCCCTGTATTTCAAAAGCACACTGTATAGTCACTGGTCTAGGCAATCCCTCTGGGAGGCTGAGCCAGGGGCTGGGAGTCAGAAAGGTTGGAAGGGGACGAGAAAACCTAAAATTATCCCTGAGGAAAAAGGACCAGCTGGGCTCCCAGGGACCCAGCAGCTCACTCACCCATGAGCAGGACTGTCAGGGGCTCACAAGTAAATGCTTTCCCTGCCCCATGAAGTAACCCATGTAGCCTTCATAGCTCCCCTCTGCTGCCCCTGTCCCAGGCATGCCAGCGAGGTGCAGGCTGCATTTGGCTGTGGCTTCTCGCCAATCATCAGGGTGATTGCACCCAAGTTGGTGTTTTGCAACACCCCAGAGTGCTGCCAGTTATCACAAAGGGGTGTCATAAGATTCCCCACAAGCAATCTCTAAAACAAATACATGCCATTTGGCAATTTTTTTCCAGGACATCAGAGAAGGTTGGGAATGAGAGTTGTCCCAAGACATATTCAAAGGCTGTCACCATTTTAGTGAATGACCTTGTTATTTGAAGAAAGCATGCAAAAATGTTTACATTTTAAAATCCTGAGAGTCCACAAACCTTAAAAGCATGCCTGTGTGTAGTCCCATAATCAAACATTGTGAGAATAAATGTGTCATACCCCTCCTCTCAAAGCCTGTGAGACAGCAGATCCATGTCCAAGTACTCTGCCTTCTTCCTCTTCTTTGGCATTTTCTTCTACTCTCATGCCTTAGGATACTCCCATTGTTCTTCCCTTGTAAGTTTGTTTTAAGTTTTTAACAGATAATGTATTCACATTATTCAACCATCAAAATATAGGAAATGTATATAACAGAAATTTGCTCTCACTTCACTGTTCAACTTAAGTAACTCCTATAGGATCTTACTAATTCTTCCAATAACATTTGATATACACACAACTCAGTATACAAACATTCTCTTTTAGCCACATTTCCCCACACAAATATACCTCATCCTGTACTTTTAAATTTTAACATAACTAACTATACGAACTAACTTATGATCCTTCTAGATCAACACACAAAAGATGCCAATTTCTTTTATCTTTATCTTTTTCTTTCTTTTCTTTTTTCTTTTGGTTTTTCAAGACAGGGTTTCTTTGTATAGCTTTGGCCCATTTCTTTTATGAATGGAGATAATACATAAACCTAGCTATCTACTAATGGATACCTGATTTACGTCCTTTCTTTATTTTTTAAAGATTTTATTTATTTATTATGTATACAACATTCTGCATCCATGTATATCTGCACACCAGAAGAAGGTATCAGATTTCATAACGGAGCTACCATGTGGTTGCTGGGAATTGAACTCAGGACCTCTGGAAGAGCAGTCAGTACTCTTAACCTCTGAGCCATCTCTCCAGCCCAATGTTCTGTCTTTATTAATAAATGATGCTGTGTATTAGTCCCCCAGTCCTTTCATACCTGTGTAAATGTATTTGTAGACGTTTCTATGAACAGAATTGTTATATATAAATAAGGCATGCACATTTGTAATTTTGGAAGTCATTGCTACATTTCTCTCCCCAGACAATATGTCTGTTTCCACCCTCACTATCACTTTTGGTAGCCAGCTGGGGGTTGCAAGCCAGTGGCCTGCTGCTCTGGAAGCCATCCTAATGGCTGGGCCTTGGGGAATTAGCATTGCTTGTTCTGTAGAGGTCGTCCAACTCTGGGTACACACATACATTGCCCAGAGAGAGCATTACTCAGGCCCTCAGTCCCCCATGACCTTCATTTTGTGCCCTTGGAAGCAATCAGTGAGCATGGCCTCTAAGATGCTGAGGGTGGACCCTCAGGTCACTGGTTAAGATGAGGGTTCTGAGTAGGGAAGAATAGCAACTGTGGTGATAGAGGCAGCGGCCATTGATGGATAGAAGTTCTAATAGGATGTTTTATCCCTCCTGGTGAGCAGGAGCTGTGGTCCCATGAACATTAAGACTGGATGCTTGTACATGTGTTTACATGATACAGCAGGGAGGGCTTGTGTGATGGTGGTCTTGCACCTTGTCTAAGACCACATGTGTTAGAGATGGGTATAGATACCCATGGGTACATATCCGTGTTTTCTGTTTTTGATTCTCACTCCCATCAAGCATATCCTCTAACTCTAAGATACATTTCTAGGTACAAATCAAGTGTCCACATTCTAGCAGTCATAACCTATCCAGTTTTCTTTAGGTTCTTGGAAGCAGATGGGTGTGGTGGCTGGTAACTAGTGCACTTGGGAGGCTAAAGTAAGAAGATCCTAAGTTGTAGGCTATCCTGAGTTACACAATGACAATCTGTCTCAAAAACAAAAGTAAATAAAGAACTTCTTGGAAGCAGGAAAGACTGAGTGGCCATCTCCTTCTCTCTTTAGTTGTCTCTCTCCTCTAGATCCTGTAGTGACTATTTACTTTTAGTGATTGGATGGATGTACATGGGACTTCTGAACAGTAGTTTTCATGTGTATTGTTTGGATGGAGGTGGCTTGTGAACAACAGCTAGGGGCCAGGGATATGATATTCACAAAGCTGGGGTTCCATCTAGCATCACATAAACCAGAAATGGAAGCACATACCTGTGATCCCAGCTACCAGGAGGTCAGAAGCTTAGGATGATCCTGACAACACACCATGTTTGATGCCAGTCTGGGACACTTGAGACATACTATTAAAAACAAAGCTTCTCTAAATAGTTTTCCCTTCCCCTCTTCTTTTAACAGTACTGGGGACTCACACATGCTAGGCAAGCCTTCTACCACTGGGCTATATCCCCAGCCTTCACAGGGTCTCATGAAGTGGCCCAGGTTGGCCTTGAATTCACTTTATAGCCTAGGCATGTCTTGAAATTTCCCTGACAAGGTCTCACCAGTAGCTGAGATTACAGGTTATCACACGTGGCTCTAAAACAGGTATTAAAGATCGATACGATA